AAGAAAGATGGCAACAGGTGCACAGTTTGAATGCTATTCTGACAAGGCTGGCAGATGCACACACAAACACACAAAAGCAGCACTGACTGTGTAGAAAAACTCTGGGAAGAAAAGCATATAAAAATAAAATACCTCGTGTGAGAGCTAGTGACAGGAAGTCGTTCTCGCAGGGCGGCATGCTCCACTTCAGCAAATTAACCTCAGGAAATAATTGCAGCAGTAAACTAATGTTTAGATTATTCAGTACCGCACTATGCCAGGTATTCAGTCACATTGTTTTTGCTGCTTGTGTATCAGCAAATTGGTGGGGGTGGAATCAAGGGCTCTCTTTGTCAAACTAAAGACATCAATCAGTCTGCAGTCTGTGAAATATTTATTAAACATTTATTATCACCTGTATGCTACCGTGCCTTTTTAAAAGACATTCACATCCCTTTAGAATTGTTTTTAACCTGCAGTCTCAGATCGATGTATTTAATTGGGATTTGGAACCATGAAGTAGTAAACTTTGAAAACCAGCATGCATCTAAATATAGATGACTGTAACTTAATGAGAAGAGTAATCATGTTTCAGTGGGAAAGTTGTGGACTTAAATCCACCTGGGATTTTCTCTTTTCCCCAGGTTGTCTACCTAGCTCCAATATAAAGCACATCGAATGGCCAATATGACTGAAAAACAGCAATTTAAACTCAGAAAATTTACCATTACCACCTACTTCCTTGCCATCAAAGGTGTACATTTTTTGGATAGGATTTTATCACCTATTCAGATCTACAAACCAACATTTGTATTGGTGTATTGGTAGATCAAGATCAGTCAGATTGGAATATATTGTTTTGATCTATGCTTGTAGTTGGGTTGAGCCATTCTTGCATAAGAATATGCTTCTAGTTAAAGTATTGCTTTGAAGATCTGGTAGCTTGTGACAAACTACTACAAGTTTTCCTGGATTCTTTCTAGTCTTTCTTAAGTAATAACTAATTTTTGGAGGGCACAACTAATGGTTGCCCTGTCTCTCTTTCCACCTAGACTGTGGATCTCCGGTACTCCTCCAGAGTTACTAAAGTGCCTTTTGGTTGCTTTTCTTTTTAATGCCCTTAATCCCCATCCAGTCAACTTAAGACAGCCATGTGTAGATAGGTCTGCAGTTATGTCATCTTTTTTGCACTTTCAAATGATGGACTTTCTCAATGAGATGATTAAAATGTTGGATATTCTTTTATAATTTATCTCTTCTTTAAGCCTCTCTACAACTTTATCCCTGATCTGTTTGCTGGGCTCCTTGGTCTTCATGAGGTTGCTTGCTCTCTAATGTTCTCTGTCAAACCTCTTAGGCCTTCACAGAACAAGTGAATGTATCCTGACATTAAAGTAAACATAATTGTACTTTATTTACAAAATGTGTGACTTTTGTAGATTGGTGGTTGCACCAGATTTTAATTTATTGAAAGGGACTAAAAAATTTGAAAATCAAACCCTTTACTATTCTGTGTTGGTCTGTCATATACAATCTATTGAAATCTGCTGCAAGATGAGAAAATATCAAGATTCAATGTACCATGGTTACTTTTGCAAGACACTAATTCTGATTAGCCTGCATATTGTTAAGACTATTTTGAATGTGGAGGAGAGGTGGCATGCACAGACTTAAAAGAGCTGCATACAGTCACAAACCCAAGTCAGGCCTCTCCGGTAAAGGTTGACTAGAGAGGAGGACAAAAGGAGAGAAAAAGGTGTGTGAAAGAAAACAGGTGGCATCTGTGGAGGAGCAAAGAATATAGACAAGAGGGAGAAAGTGAGGGTGGGGAGGCAGACTAATGAAATGAGCCTCATAGATGAAGGGTGACGTGGTGGAGGAGAGAGCAGGGAGACTTCAAAGCACTTTGATGTCACAGCCTTTCAGACAGACAACTCTGCTTCAGCCAGCCACCGCGCACATGCCCAGAACCCATACACGTACCCACGCACACGCAAACACAACACGCACACAGTGAAACAAGTGCGCTGCACTGACGGTAGAAGGGCAGGGCAACATTGAGTTGCCCGCTCTTGCATCACACTCTGTGAACTGAGGTTGGCGCTGACACTACAACCCCCACATGCTAATATGGCGCAAACACAAACAGCCTGACAGGTTAATTTAGTTCTAGACAAACACCACGACTTAAAAAATACACATCAGCACATCATCAAATGCTACAAGCTTACACAGACTTGTACGCACAGATGCAGGCAAGCAAAACACTCATCAATTCAAAGGGGGGTTTACTATCCTCTAAAGTTCTGTTTAAACCACATTCTGTTACACGTTTGCGTACGTGTGTTTTTGTTCTACACTTTCTCCTCAATTACCACCTTTTGGAAAGTGAAAGTTAAAGTAATTATCTTTCTGTTGTAATGCACTATCTTATTAAAATGCAATCACATTTATGGAAACTAACAGGATAGTCTCCGAAGAGACATCCTTTGTCCTTTACCTTATATTGCTAATTATTTGTTTTGAGTCACATTGAACAGTTTGACACTCAATTAACAGATGAGGCTCCATTCTCCATAGGCCGTGTGTTTGTTTATTTTCAGATATTATTATTTTTTTTAACATGCATAGGTATGCTAATTAGTAGAAATGCGGGTGCTTGTCAGTGTGGTTGTGTGTTGTGGGGGTAGCATTTCTCTGGCATGGTGCGGAGTTGCTTTGGAAGATACAGGTGTTTCCAGTCAGCGAGGCTCTGGGTGGAGAGCATTCTCTTGTGGGTATGCGTTGTTGATTTCTATTGTGAACCAGACAGTTTGATAGGAAATCAAAGCCTAGAATCAATGTCCCAAGTTCATTAACGGTTGCCCTTTTCTGGCCTGTACTTTTACTATTGTTCACTGCTAGCCTTGGATAAGCACTTACATCTCAGGTTAATTAAACATGTCTCCCAGTTCCATGAACCTGGATGTCTGTGTGTCTGTATACATACAGATGAGATTGATGTGAGTACATTGGCAGATGTGCATGTTTTTATCTCCTATTTGCTGTTGCTTTTTTTCCCTTTTGACCTTCTTTTAGTGCCTTCCTATTATGCCCTCACTGGTGTTTGGATGGGCCATTGATTCAGCAGCGGGCTACAAATTAAGATTTAAATGTTATGTCATCCTCACTATTGAGTTTTACATCTAGGGCATTTGCAAAATGCAAGACTTATTGATCTGCTGAAGTGTGGCTTTTTATTAAAGCTACCTTAGGCTAACGCCACGTTTTAATATTTTTTATTTTTTATTTTTTCCAATTTTGCTGGGCTTTAGGGTTAAGGATCTAATATTTTAGAATGAAAGCATCAATACACTTTAATAAAATGCTGATTCTTTAACTGGTTTGGCAAAGTCTACTTAAGTGTATTTCTGTTTCTCTTTGATACAGATGTGACATTTGATTTTGTTTTTCTCTGTTAAAGGAAAACACCTCCTCTGAAGAACACGTGCTCTACGTGTGGGACCACTTTGTGTCCAAAGCTGCTGCCAAGAATGTCTTCATTATCGCCCACAGCTACGGAGGCCTGTCTTTCGTTGAGCTAGTAAGTGTGCTAGTTTTTCACCTGCCCTCCTTACCTCCTATTAATTAAAGACACATTGAGATGCTGAATGTCATTCTTCTGTATTATCCACAAAACTAGAGTCAAGCTTGCAACTTCACATGAAACGGTGAAAATGTATAAATGAGCAGCAGATCTCAGTAGTGTACACAGCACTGTGTGAAATGTATAAATTTAGACTTTGGTAAATGTAAACATTTTTTCACCATTTTTGTACTCTTCTCCTCACTGATACTTTTAAAACTGAATGCTGAATTTAATCAAAAGATGCCTTATCAAAGTATCAGTTTGACGTTGTGCAGAGACTTACATGAAACAAATTATGAAAGACGAAAAAAAAAACAGACATTAACACAGAACAAAATCTTTTAAGACAAAAAGTGGATAGGATGGAAACTGGTGGGAGGGAAGTTAAACTGATTTTCAATTAAAACTCTGTGTATTTGATATTAAGTGATAGACCAACTTAATGTTGCTGATAAATGGGAAGTGGAAGAAATGTGACTGTTGGAATTATTTTTGTTTTTCCAAAAGAGATTTGAGATTAATGGTGTGTATTTATATCCAACATCCTTTTCTCCCATGACCATGATTAAAATGCAGTGCAAAATAAGAGGCCCTAGTGTGTAATTTCATCCCAGTATAAATCTAACCATCAAAACAACCAACAAACATGGCAGAGACAAGTCAGGAATAATATTGAGGAGGTTTTAAACTGCATTATATTGAGAAACACCATTCCTAAATTTGAACATCTTATACAACACACAACCTCATGCAGGACCTTAGTCTGCACCAGGGTCTCCTTCCATCCGGATGCGCCCAAAAGTTATTCTGATCATATGTTCGACCAAGTCCAGCCTGCTATGGAGCGAGCTCATTTTAGCCCCTTGTATCCGGGATCTCAGTCTTCATGATTCATATCTCATAACCTTAAGTTAGGTTTGAAATATAAATAACCCGGTAAATCGAGAGCTTTGTTTTGAAGAATTTAATACAACTCCCTCAGTGGGCACACATGGACCAGAAAGACCCTAAAGGCAACAGAGTCCCTTATATATTCCAGCAACACCCCACACAATTTTTTGTAGTAATGTGATAAATACAGAAAAGGGGTATGGATATTTTTAAAAGGTGCTGTTTTGTTGTACTTTAACATATTTTATGGACTTCATACATGACGATTCCTAATATTTACGTGTCTGTTTTTTTTTTTTTTTTTACGTCCACCAGGCTCGTTTTGTGGGGTAACATTAATGGAGACCGCACAAGGATTTTCTGACTTAATGAAAATTTAATTTATTAAATTATACTAAAGAAATAAAACCTGAAACAAGGAATACCTGAAATGAGACCACAAAATAGATTAACGCAAAAAACCCATAGCGAACCAGAAACAAGCAAATGCGAAACAAACCTAACAAAACCCAAACAAAAGATACAAACCAAACCAAATGGAGTTCTGGGGAGGGAGTTTGAAAAGCCTCCTGTCTGCTTCATGCATGGCAGCTTTAAAGCAGCAGAGCACCAATCAGGGCAAAACGTAACACCTGCAGAAGGTCTGTGTCCAGAACCCTGCAAGGAAAAAGGGTAGAGACCCACTGCAGCCATAACACCACAGATGCACTGTGGGACTAAGATGAACAGATCATCAAAGTCAAATCAATACTTAAAACTATTTTCTTTTGTGTTGTGATAAAGTAATTTGAAACTATGTACTGTTGCCACATAAGTGTATACGGTAAGCAACAAATATTATGTTGAAAGGTTGCCTTCTCCAATGTCATTTTCTTCTACCATGCATCCCGCTGCTTTATGTTTCCCAAACAATATACATCATGTAGTATTGATAGGATTCATAAATGCATGAAAAAATACTTTTAAATTCTGAAATTTCGATGTGGAACAACGCCGGATGTCTTGTTAACTGCTTTTGCTTTTTCATAAAGATTTGCAACACTATTACTTCAAAGCACTACACTTCATTACCTCTGCTGATACATTGGACTGTTGTGTTTGATGTAGGGGATATACTGCGAGGCTCACTACTTCCTGTTTTATTTGGGAGATTGTTTTCTCCTTTTCTTTAAAATGAAGGGAGGAGGAGACAGGCAGCACAATGTTAGCATGGGTAGTGGGGAATTAAAGAGTTGGACTTGTCCCACTGGTGTTCACAGGGATATTTTCTGTCCATCTCTTTCACCTACTCTTTTTTTGTTTCGCTATTTTGTAATTTTAATTTAACTACTAAATATTCATGTGGTGTTTTGTCTGTGACAGACTCATGTTCTCTTGGGTTTTCTCACTGTGTGACGAAGACCGTCTATTCTCTCTATTTGAATCTTTCAGTCTCTGTGTTTTCTTCATATTCTTTCTCTTTGTGTGAGTCTGCAAGGAAAGACTCAGTGAGCGCCTTACTTACTGCCTTTATGTCATGTCCTTGTCATATGAAAACCCTGCAACAAATATGAATATAGATCATATGTATATCAATGCAAAGCATAATGCATAATGGGAAAAAATTCATTTAAAAGATGTTTTTACTTTTGGAGGCAAGATAGTTAAATTATGCTGTTTCAGGTGTTTGTATGATCTTTAACTTAAGTTTCTGTTGTTGTTGTTTTTTTATTTCTACATTGGCAGTTATTTTATTATTTTAAAGTTTAAGTGCTTTACCACAAGCTGTTTGTCTTTTGGTAGTACAAAAAAAAACAAATCTCCTTTCTTACACACATGCAAGATTATTATATTAAATCTCAGGTTTTAAATCCATCAGTGTGCAATTCTTTTATTCTTGTTATGCATTCCCTTATCCACTCATGTCAGCACAACTACACACATGTACAGTACATACACACACTCACAGTCTACTTAATTGAGGAGAAAGTGGTCCAAAGGGATGGAATGTGTGTGCATGAGCTGGCATGTGGCGAGCGGAGCCTTTCGGGATGAACCATTTGACACACGAGAAGACCCAGAGAAAACAAGCTGTCTGCGGGTTAATTACTGCTCCCCTTTGCAGTTAATAAATACGTTTCTGATCAAGCACATCAAAAGGCCCAACATTAATTTCTCCTGCTCGCTCCCCTCGCCGCAGAGCATGTTAGCCAGTGTTTAGAGCACTCAAGTGTTTCAATGCAATTTGATTCTTTTTAAACACTTCACAGTGTGTACTGACTAATTATAGATGCATCAAAGGCTAACAAACTGCCTTTCAGTAGGAGCTAAGGCAGGTAAACAGAGAGTAGTACTGTAAGGTTCGACTGCTGTGTGCTTCTCCAGTCTAGCACATTTGTCACTTCATATAAATTCATCCATCCTTCTGTGGTCTTCTCTTTTCCTACCTCAGACCTTCGGCCACTGTGTTGTTTCCTCCCTCTTCAGCTCTCTGAGCTGTAAAGTTTGAAAGCACCACAAATTGCATTCACTTGGTTTTCAAAAACAGTTTCTTTTTAACCCGTAGCACACAGATTATAACAAGTTTTGTACCAGTTGTCACCCATCTGTCTCACTGTATATTGAGCTCATACATGAGTTGTTACATGATATCACCTTTCTGTTTTGCTGGTTTATTTTTACCTCTTGTGTCATAACATCAAAATATCCCAGTAAATCCGATCATAGAAAAGAAACATTTTGGTGAGACTGGAGGCTCTGCTTCGCTTTCTTTTTATTCTTTTCATCTGTGTGCATCACTTAAAATCACGGAAGGACAGATGCATCTCAGTGAATTATGTAACATCTTGACACTATTCTATTTCAGCAATTTAAATAAACATATATATTCCACACATAGTGATAAATATTGACACTGATAACAACATAGGCATATAGCAAAAAAACAAACACAAGATTCAGTTTTCAGAAACCACTGCATAAAGTTTATGAAAAGAAACCTTACATTTTCAACATGAATATTATGCTATTTGGTCATTGTAGGAATAACATGTTCATACACAATGATGCATCCCTATTGTTAGGTCCCTCCTGAACCAGAAATATCAGACTTGTCTCACATGGGCTAAGAAGTAAAAGGACAGGGCTGTTGCTCTGTCATTAAAAGTATTTTTTTCCAGACACAAGAATATTTTGAATTTCATTTTGAAATGATTTGGAAAGGCACACAATAGAAGTTGCTGGTCATCCAGTCTAAAGTTTCCTCAGTCTATGATGATATAGGGAGTTCATCTGCGGGTTTTGATCCACCACCTTGTTTTTTTTTTTAATTTTTTATATAAAACCAAGACATTTACCAGGAAACACTGCAACACTTGATGCCTCCGTCTGCTCACAAGCCTTGTGGAGATGCTGATTTTCTTTTCCAGCAGGACATGATACACACAGCCAAAATACTGATACTTAATTTAATGACCATGGTATCACTGTGCTTGATTGGCTTCCTGATGTAAACCCTGTAAAGAAATCCATAGAGGAAGAAAGGAAGAAAGTAAGAGACACCAAATACACACAAAATAAGTCAATTATCCAGACAACCTGAATGCCTGCTATTAAAGCATTAAAGAATCTGGGCTTCCTGAACACCTCAACAGAGCCACAGGCCGGTCCATGTCCCCAATGCAAGAGGAGACTTGACCATGAATGGAGTGCATACACTTTATAGTACACGGACATCATTTTAAGCAGACTGACATTTCTTATTTAACAAGGCTTTTTCATTGATCTTACATAATATTATACTTTTCAAGCATCTATTTAATATCTGTTTCACCCATTGAAGAGAAATACTGAAATGAATCAACTTTCTAATTAATTGAGCTGGATATTTAGATCCATGTATAAAGTTGTGGTAGTTATGTTGAAAAAATTCTGTCTAACCATCTTTAAGCATGTCTTAGAAATTGATGGATGGAATTTAATTTATAAGACAGGACAGCATTATATAATGCCTTACGTAAGAATGCATCTGTCCCCCAGTACCCAGTACAGCAAAGTTTGGATGCCAACCAGCCAGCCACTACAAC